CTCCCCAAAACCCCAAAACCCCAAAACCCCATATATTTTATTAAGAATTGAGACTTATGGAGTAGATTTCACTTAGCTTTTAAAAGCTCTTTTTGAAGTAGATCATAGGGTTTTATATTCAAAACCAAATTTTCTGCTGATATGATTAAAAATGTTCACAAAAATCTGCCTCTATCCATCCCCCTCAAAATTTCATCTAAAAGATAATTCCAACCCCTAAATCTCCAATAAAACCTCCTCAAACTCTCTCACAACTCACTACTTTCTGCACCTCAAACCCCACTTCCCTTCAAAATTTCCAAATCCCCATTTCTCTCTTGGTTTCCAAAAATTCAGCTTATCAGTCAAGCGGAGCTTGAAGAGGTTTTGAGCAGAGGCTGAAGAAGCAATTTTAGGAGTTGATAAATTTAGACATGGAGGCCAGGGAACTTGTGATGCTTTCGTCTTCTTTGAGGTCTAGGTCATTGCGAATTTGGAGTAGTTTGGAGCTTCTGACGTAACTGCAAAATCCTGGGCTATCTTTAATATGAGGCTTCTGAAAGTCTTCTTCATTCTCTTGTAATTTCTGTCTTTTTCCATGGCTTCTTCCTCTAGGCTCTCCTTGCTCTTTCCTTTTCCTTTGAGCATTTGCTAAGGATTTCGGATGTTTAGAGCCATTGTGCTTTTCAGTAAGTTTATCTAAGTTTCTCTGGTTTGAATGGGTTTGTTTATCACTAATATCAAATAGCTTGCGCTCACTTTCATTTGATAATGTCTTTAATTTTTCAAGGTCTCCATCTGCAATACGATTGTTTTTAACCCCATTCACAATTCTATTTACCTGATATTGCTTCTTTTTGAGTTCTTTAACTTCTTTAGAAATTTCCTTCTTCTCTTCTTCCAATTTATTACTAGTATCTTGGTCTGCTTCGAGAGATTGCTCTAAATGCATTTCAGAACTTATTTCTTTGATGAACTCATCAGTTTTGACTTCTTGGAATATTTTTAATAATTCATCATATCACTTGTTATATTTTGGGTTCTTCAAGATTTTTTCCTTTAACTTTTTACATCGAATTTCTATGTTATTCTTAAATGTTCTTAGTCGTAGTTTTTTAACCATAATAGAATTGTCCTCTTCATCTCCAGATTCATCCCCTGAACTTCCAAGGTAATTCTCCAGCTTATTTAGATATGCCATGATTTGATTTACCTTCTTCATCGCTGGTTGGAAATCTTGAGGCACTGGGTCTTGAATTGGATTGTTAGGATCACTATCACTAGCAACTTCTGAAACTACACTAGAGTCTTCAGAACTTAAGTGTAATGAATAAGGCTCCATATACATTTTCTTTATTAATTATAATTTTTATGTTCAGACTTTTAATCATAAATTTTCCTACTGGGGTTTTGGGGTTTTGGGGTTTTGGGGTTTTGGGG